AAGAAAGAAAGAAAGAAAAGAAAGAAAGAGAAAGAAAGATGGGAGGGAGGGAGGGAAGGAAGGAAGGAAGGAAGGAAGGAAGGAAGGAAGGAAGGAAGGAAGGAAAATTAAAGGTAAAACAGCAAATCTGACACCTATTTGTGGAAAAGCTACATCAAGGGGCTTTCTCTTTTGAAACCTGTAACAATCCCATTCAAAACTATCAACATGTGAATTTGCCAACAGATGGGACTGCCTTGTGAGACAGTTGGCCCTCAATGTTTGTCAGAACCAAGATGGAATATGATCTCAAAATTATGCTTGCATTATGGATAGCTGAGCTTTATGTGGTGAGGGTGTGGATGTAGTATGCCTCATGGCAAGGATTTTTTGATTGAAGAAAAATGGAGCTGTTGTATCTGGGTTTGAAAAGAATGCATATAGTCTTAACTAATAAGGGAAGAGAGAAAAATATGTTGCATTGCTTATCAAAGGAAACTGTAGTGGTTTTTTTTAAAATGTGGAAAAATTTACATAATAGATTATATATATCCATCTTTTGTCCCCCACACACCTAGCCTTGGTCAAAGATGGCTATATGTCACACCTATCATAGACCCAAATACATGTTATCCTCACGCATCTGCTAAAGTCATCAGTTCATTTTTAAGCTTCAGTCGAGCCGGGAGCCCCCCAAAACAGTTCCCACGGCATGGTCCACTCCATTAGCAATTCTGTAGCCACCTTCACTGCTGCTGCCGCCTGCCATGAGGCCTCTTCCCCCTCCCTCCCCAAAATGTAGCGCCTGCTTCTTCCCCTATAAATACACCATCAATAGACAGTTACTATGGCAACAATAAGGAAGCAATCGTGAGGGCTCCACGACAGAGAATGATGCTGCAGCCATACATGTATATGTCCCTCCTGCCCCTGGTGGATACTGTAAAGCTGACTGTAGGCGGAAGGAATTTTTAACCCACTCCCCACAGGAACACAGCTGAATCCTGACAGCCTGGAAAGGAAGGAAGGCAGGGAACTGGCCACCACAAAGACCTTGCTTAACTCCACCCCAGACTGAAGCTTCTGAATCTCAGCCCTCTGGGACACAACTGCCAAAGTCCTTCACATGAAGCCTGGTGACTACCAGAGCACCTGGTGTCCCAAGACATGGCCTCCAAACCACTTCTCCATACCCTAGACCTTATTTCCATCCCTCAGAACTGATCGCCAGGAAACGGCTCTGTGATCTCCAAATCGCATGACTCATCGACCCACCCAGTGACACGACAACTCCCAAATTATGCTCAAACTCAAACTCTGGGGCCCCCTTGTCCCTTTCCACTCAGACCAGCTCTGAAAGTGCCTGTCCTCGCCCACCTTCGCTGGACACCAGCGCCCTGACCCAGCAACAATCTTCTCCCGGGGCTGCTCAAGACCCCCCCATCACCGTGGCCCGGCCAGGCCTCTAGCTCTTCCCTCTCCAACAATGTCCTACGCCCAGCTCGTTGGCCCTGGACACTGAACCGTGCCCTCGGGACTGGGACACCCAACCCAAATGGCCTCACCGTTCTCCGGGCCCAGAAGGCGGCCGCCCTGTTTGCTCACGCAGCCCGCCACCTCGCTGCTGCGCCTCTTCCAGCAGGGGCCCTGTCCCCGCCCACCTGCTCCCCGTCTGCCAAGCCCCCCGGTCCGGCCCAGTCGTCTCCTCCCTCCCTCCCTGCTGCCCTCCCACCGCCCCAGGTACCCTGTCGCCCGCCCCTCCAGGGCCGAAGTGCGCCTGGAAACCCG